ACTACGTCCAGCTTTTACATGGGTGCAAGGGTGGAACTCAGGTCCTTATGCTTGCGTGACAGGGAGTTTACCAAATGCTTCATCAACCTAGCTCTTATGTCCTTTATTTTTTTCACAGAAAAACTGAAGTCTTTTATAGAGCATATTCATAATGTAGAATTCATACTTCCAATCTTTCAAATTGAGTTCACAGTTCTCACTGGTAAAATGTAAAGGCTGGAAACACCAAAATAACATGGAAGCCTGATGTTTTAACTGAAAGTTAAATTGGTTCTGTGCATTTAAAGCATTCATATTTATTATTTTTAAATGTTTTATCTATTATTTTTTATTTTGTGTTTATCATCAGTCTGTAAGTTTACTCGTGTCATACAATGCCCATGGAGGTCAGAAGAGGGTGGCAGATTCTCAGAACTGAAGTTATAGATGGTTGTTAGCCGCCATGCGGGTGCTGGGAATTGAGCCTGGGTCCTCTGCAAGAGCAGTGCTCTTAACCCATGAGCCATCTCTCCAGCCCAAGCACTCATATTTAAATATTGAGGAAAATATACGGGGAACAGTGAGTTATCACTACAGTAAGGCATCAGAGGCAGCCCAGTTATTTCCTTCCCACCTGAATGTGTGATACTACCTACTATACACATCTACCCCAGTCACACAATTCCAGGGACTCCAACCTCTGCTGGACCCAGGCTGCTGCCACAGGTTCAGGCAGGAAATGGAGGGCTGTACCCCTCAGCTCCCTACTTCACCTGTTTCCCACTTCTCCATATAGTTCCCAGTTTCTACCTTTTGCAGTAACAGGAAAGAGAAATATCACCTACTCCTAATACCCCCCCAAAAAACAGTAATTGAGTTTGCTATCATAACCTAGTCTGTGTCAATGAGCTTTGTTTCTTCATATCTATAACCACACCACAAATTCCTACATTGCCTCTTGAAACACCACTAACCTTTCTTTTGCTACTATACTGCCTACGCTGATTTTAATGGAAATAAAGACATTTTACCTTGTGGATACATCCTTATTTAACCAAACCTTTCTTGAATTATTAGACAATTAAACTGGAATGCTTTCACTACCAAAAGCAATGATCCAGTAGTACAATATAGACATATGAAAATGTCATAATGAGGGCATGGCGGTGTACAGCTTCAATCCCAGAACTAGGGAGGCAGAGGCAGGTGGATCTCTGTGAGATGGAGGCCAGTCTGGCCTACATAGTGAGTTCAAGGCCAACTGGGGCTACAGAAAGACCATGTCTCAAAAAGACCAAAATATAGTAGGTAGGTAGGTAGGTAGACAGACAGACAAAATTCCAGCTTTCATTTGGGGCTGGGGAAATGGCACAGCAGTTAAAGGTTCTGATTGCTCTTGCAGAGGACATAGGTTCGGTTCCCAGCACTCAGGAGGTAGAGGCGGGCAGATCTCTGTGAGTTCAAGGCCAGCCTGGTCTACAAAGTTCCAGGCCAGCTGGGGCTAAAGGGAGACCCTGTCTCAAAAAGATTTAAAAAAAAAAAAAAAAAAAAAAAAAAGAACGGGAAGGAAGGAAGGAAGGGAGGGAGGGAGGGAGGGAGGGAGGGAGAAAATGTCATAAGGACATTATGTACACTAACTGAAACATACAAAAGCAATTTTGTTCTAGTGACAGGGATCTGAGGATCTATTTCCAGACTCCTGTGAGAGTGGATTAATCTAGAGAGAGCACTCAGCATAAAACTTGGCAGAGGACAACACCTACATGTGAAGCAGTTCCTGAGCAAGGAGGTGTAAGTTCCTGAGAGAGGAGCATCTCACAGGCTTGCAGTTGATAACATACATGGGTGCATGGCAGAGGGCATAAGGGCAACAAAGGTGCAGGACCAGGTAACTTTCAAAAGTTTTTCTTAACATTTCAGTAAGTCATCAAAAGCTACAGTCACACACAAAAGAGATCCTCCAGCTCCCTGCTTTTTACAACCACTTCTACTCCTCTGGCTCTCTCAAATCTCCCCTTCTCCCCTTGCTACTGCCCTAGGCCAGACCTCCGCCTCTTGAACCTCTATTCTGGAATTAGCTTCCCTGTTGCACTCTCAGCTAAGCGTGGTGTTATCAAGCCCATACCAACCACTCACATTTGACTTGGTCTTTTAAAATTAAAGGGGGAGGGGTGTAGGTGGGGCCTAAGAGCTCATACAAACTATTTAATAGATAAAAGAGCCACTTAAAAATGAGGTATCAGCCAGGGGTGGTGGCGCACGCCTGTAGTCCCAGCACTTGGGAGGCAGAGGCAGGCAGATCTCTGTGAGTTCAAGCCCAGCCTGGTCTACATAGTGAGTTCCAGGATAGCTGGGGCTACAGGGAGATCAAGGCCAACCAGTCAACACAGCAAGTTCCAGGTCAGCTAGGGCTACAGGGAGACCCTGTCAAAAACCAGGAGAGCAGGTAATCAGGGGGCTGAAGGGATGGCTCAGTGGTTAAGAGCACTGGCTGCTTTTGCAGAGGACCTAGATTTGATTCCCAGCACCCACATGACAGCTAACAACCCTCCATAACTCCAGTTCCAGGGGATCTGATGCCCTCTTCTGGCCTTCCCTGGCATTGTTCAACATGGGTACACTTATAGATATATACTTGTACAAATTTTTTTAAATTTAATGAGCTATTAGAAAGATCTCCTCTCCCTTTTATATTACAGTATTTAGTCCATAATCTTTCAAACCAGGACACTACAGAGCTCAGTTCCAAATCTGGTCGTTTTCACCTGGCTCATCCCATGCTTAGAGTCCTTTCTCTTTGCCTTGCTGCTTCCCAGGATCTCAGATGCCATTTTGGCTAAATATTTATCTCACTGATTTAAAGAAGCCTAGTTTCACAGGAATTGGGTTCCATGCTTCCACATTTGGCAAAATACTGGACACTGCTAGGACATACATTTTAGTATTATGAGCAAAGCATCCTGCACAGACTAACAGCTTTTAAAACCTCAATTTGCATAATGTTCACAATGTGAAAAGCACCTCCTTCTATAATGTACATGCTTATCATTTTAATTCATTTTATTCTCTAAAGGACACATTTCTATGGCAGTAGGAAGGGAATGTGGTGTTACATAATATGCATCCACCATGTGATTTCCCTAACACTGGCTATAAATGGGAGGGTGCATCTCCCTATAATACCAACAGTATCAGGATCAGGAGGCTGTGTGACACAAAGGGGCACCTTGGGATATTTTAAACTCTCAATGGAAACAGCAACAGTTCTTACACACTGAACAGACTGCTATTAAGTCATCTGTACATGACTAAATAAAATGAAGAGTTAGGTATTTAATTCTCATGGTCTGAACAAATCACTAGACCTGAAGGCATTATAAATTCAGCTTGTGACCCTCTGCCCCAGGCATTCCCATCATGGCTCTTGTTTTAGCAACCTTGAGAATGATTTCTAGAATCTAACAAAACTTTTCCTGTCTTCTTAGAGCAGAATTTGGAAAAAGCATGTACCACAGCATGTGTACTGTCTTAGAAAAGGAAACAAAGCATGTTTATTTTCTACTAACAAGAGTCCCAGTATCTTTCCACAGAGGTCAACGTGAATTTATTTAGCTTGGGAGAAGAGCCATCTGGCCCAGTATTTAATAGGAAGTGAAAGTCAGGCATAACATGTTATTATGTCAATGTGGATGCCCACTATGATATGGACAAAGGAGAAATATATGTTATTGAGGGAACATGAAAAACTAGATCACTCCACCCCATATACGGTCTCTGAGGAAGGCATCAGCACATTTGGTTTTTTAAGTTAGGATGTTAATATTAAGTCCTTTAGTTCTTGTCAAAACATGCTTTAAAAATTCGGAGTCCTCCAATCCTGAAAGTCCAGATTATGGTCTCTAGGTGTTATTTCCAACCCAAAATAAACAGGGCTCTTTGGAGGAGGGACAGGTTCAAGGCCTGATACAGGAAATGTACAAGATGAGCCTGGATCATCTTGTCATACTAGAGAGCAAGGGCGCCATCAAAGATAAGCAAGGTCACTGATGAGGTTCCAATTGGCCACAGACGGCCAATGTGAGCACCAGTCACACTGACTGCAATGTGCTAGCTGTTTCAAGAACACTTCCATTTCTTTCTTTAGCGATCCAATATAGGTAGGGAATAACAAGTTACATTTAGGCTTATTTATAAAATTTGTCAAAATAGATGTGCTTTTCAGCTTCATTTTGTTTTCATTGTTTCTTTTTGATGTTTTTCAAGGTACATCTTTTTTTTTTTTTTGGTCTTTTTGATCCCAGCTGGCCTGGAACTCACTATGTAGACCAGGCTGGCCTCGAACTCACAGAGATCCACCTGCCTCTGCCTCCCAAGTGCGCCACCACTCCTGGCTCAAGGTACAATTATTATCTGTGTTGTGGTTCAGATATGAAATAACCTGGATACCCATAAGACTCATGTGTTGCAAGCTTAGTCACCAGCTAGACTAGACAGCAAGGGCTCTGACCTGATCAATGGATTAACTTATTGATAGGATCATAATTTGATAGCATCATTGGAAGTTGATAGAAGCTTTTGAGAGTGTGGCCTACTTAGAGAAGTAGGTGATTAGGGACATGTCCTTGGGGGCTATGTCCTGCTTGCCCTCAGGTGAGCAGCTTCTCCACCACACGCTCCATTGGCCATGATATTCTATCTCACCACAAGCCCATAGCACTGGAGCAAGTCAAACCATGGACAGAGAGGCCTGAATATGAGCAAAAAAATTCATCTCTCCTTTTAAGTTGTTTCTCTCAGGTATCTGTCACAGTGACAAAAAACTAATAAACCACAAGTCGAGCCACCTAAATTTTGTATTAGGAAAATGAAGTGCATTTCATTTAACTATGAGTGCTTTGATGACCAAGAAGCTGGTGAGTATGCTTCAACAACAGGAAGTAAGTAGCAAACACTAGAAACATGAGGAACTGTCACACAGTCAAGGTGGAGGAGGCATCAACCTGTGGTGATATCACACCTACCGTGGTGTCATTGCTGGTAACATAAACAAGGACATCAGAGGAGTTCCTGCCATTGATGTATCGGTAGCAGTTCCAAACGCAGCTGATCAAGTAGCCCTGAAAGTATTGGTTATTGGACTTTTAATTTTCAAACTGCAGACAACCTAAAAATTCCACAATCATAAAGTTTTTATTTACATAAACTGAGTGTGCATGTGTCAGTATTACTAAACCTGATGCTTTAAAACTACAAATGTTGAGTATAGTAACTTTTTGGTAAACGGTTCTCTGATACAACCTTATTCTATCACAGAACACCAAAAGGCAATGGTAAGAGAACGATGGTAGGGGAGGTTGGGGAGGACAGAAACTGACAGGAGAAGTAGTCAGATGGAAGAATGAGAGCTACAGATATTTGTCAAATTTATTAACCCATGTACCACTGCATTACCTCTTCCTCTTTGGCAAGGAGTGAGACAAACCTGCTGTGTAGGCCCAGGAGAGCCTCAAACTAATCCTCCTGCTCAGCTTCTTGACTGCTGATATTACTTACAGATATGTACCACGATTTGACTATTTTTATTCTTCGTGATTAGCTATGATTTTATTACAGAAATTGGGGTGGGGAAGATTCACAGCATGGGTTCATTTCACAGTCTATAAAATTCACTAAAACATTTCCTTTTTTTTCCAAAATGAAATATCTAAAGGTACTTAAGATTAATACCCAGGGGGCTGGAGAGATTGCTCGGCAGTTAAGAACACTGGTTGTTCTTCCAGAGAACCCAGGTTCAATTCCCAGCACCCACATGGCAGCTAACAACCATCAGTAACTCCAGTTCCAGGGGAATTTGATGCCCTCTTCTGGCCTCTTCAGGTACTGCATGACACAGGTGCACATATACACAGAGGGAAGGCACTCATTCACACACATCAAAAAAAAAAAAGAAGAAAAAGAAAAGAAAAAGAAAAAAAAAAAACTTAAAAAAGAAACACCACATATTGTTTGTTTGAAAAAAGAAAGATTGCCCCTCTGACCCTGGCTGGCTTGGGGATGGAGGAAAAAAAAAAGATTAACACACAGAAGAAAGCATGAGATGTTTAAATCAGGGACTCTTTTTTATATTCTTAGTCTAATCATCTGTAATTGGCTTAGAGTTCAATCATTTCAAAATTCCTTCCTATCTTTAAAAAGTTTACACATATGAGAAACAGGAAGCCTCATATATTGCTCGTAAAAATGTAAAACAGTGTAGCCACAAGTTTAAATTAAGTTACTAGACAACGCAGCAATTCTACCCTAGGCACACACCCAAGGGAAATGAAAACCCATGTGCATCCAGATTTTGTCCAGGAATGTGCAAAGCAGCATTATTCATCATAGCCAAAAAGCAGAAGCAACAGGAAGAACATCTATCACACAATAAATGGATACACACAATGTGGCCTGTTCACAACAGAACACTATGCTATAACCAAGAGAAAAGAAACTGAGGCAGGGCTAAAGAGGCCAACCACAGAGAGCCATATGTTGCATGACAGTACTAATGTGAAGTGCCCAAAATACACCAATTAGAGAGAAAGTAGAGGAGTGATTTTAAGGGGTATGTTGCATGACAGTACTAATGTGAAGTGCCCAAAATACACCAATTAGAGAGACAGAAAGTAGAGGAGTGATTTTAAGGGGTGTTGGGGTGAGTGCAAGGGGTGGCAGGTGATAAAAATGTTCCAAATTTACAGTATGCACAAGGCAACCATGGAATCACAGATGCACACTACTGTAAATGTACTAAAAAAACACTTAGTTTTTTTAACATTTAGAGAGTATGTGTGCACATGCATGTGCATGTCACAGCACGTGTGCGATCAGAGAGAATGAGAATAACTTTTGGGAGCTGGTCTCCCCTCCCACTATGTTGGTTCCAGGGATCCAATTCAGGTCATCAAGCCAGTGGCAAGTCCTTTTGCCCACTAAGTCATCTCACTAGCCCACCTACTTTAAATGGTTGAATTTTTGACAAGTGGATTATATCAACAAACTTGTTGAAGCCACATATATGTAGTGCTTATTCTATGCATCTAACTTTTGTGATAATGTTAAGAGTAACACCATACAGGACATTGTAACGCACGTTGAAGTATTATATACTATAAAATGCATAACCTTAATTTATCCCCAAACATAGTTTGGAATAGCTCTTGGTTGGCCTGTGGAATTCAGGTTATTACTCTTTCTCATACACACAGTAGGACAAACTCCGATGTTAGGAAATCGAAAGGCAGTTCAGACAATGAACTGTCTAGCTGTCTGAACTGACCAGTCTGTTTATTTCTTTGGCATTCAGAAATGCATTTCATATTTATACCATAAAAAGAATCTTCATGCTTACCTTAAATGCCAAGATAAGGCTGATAAACAGAAGAATAATAAGGACCAAACAGGTAGGATTCACTGACATAATATCATCTCTGTAGGGAAAGTTGGGGGGCTGCAAAAGAAAGGAGCCCGGTTAGCAAATCTCATTAATCTTTCAATCTCGCTAATCTTTCAAGATATAATCCATAGGCAGCAATTCAGAGGTACTCACCAAAGAGCAAGCAGTTTTTAGAACCGACATAAAAATGCTTTCCTACCTCTACCATGAAATAGCTACAAAAGGTGAGCCAGGGAGAGCCAACCTGCTCCTAACTCAGGCAGTAACTACAGGAGAGGGCTGTCACAGGAAGAATCATGAGTGACACCTGAAACATCACTCTGTCTTCCCTCTATACCTTGAGAATCAGTGTGGGGATACTTTGTACACTATGCTGTTTGGACTGGGTAGTGTCTTGGTTTTCTTCAAGTTCTGGATATTCTAAAGGGTGTGTGCAGGACAAGGAGGAGAAACCTATTTGATGGGATCCTGTGAAAGCATCTCCCCTGATGAACCATCTTTCCAAACAGCACATTCTTTTATAGCATTATTTTTTAAAATATTTTATTATTTTTATTTTTTATGTGTATGAGTGTTATGCCTGCATGTAGGTAAGTGCACCCATGTCGTGCAATGCCCAGGCAAGGACAGAAGAGGCTGTCAGATCCCCTGGAACTCGATTTACGGACAGTTGTTAGCTGCCATGTGGGTGCTGGGATTCGAACCCAGGTCTTCTGCAAGAACAGTCAGTATTCTTAACTGCAGAGCCATCTCTCCAGCCCCCAGCACTTTTTTTTAAAAAAAAGGAAAGGAAATGATGCATTCATCACCAGGTTAAAGGAAAGCTCTTAGTAGGATCACTTACTACTATGGTCAATGGAAGAGTTACTGTGTCCCAAAGTCATGCCCTAGAGGAACAGAGCAAAGTGAAAGTACGTGACCCCTTCCACAAAGTTCTTGACACTCTTTTACACCAGAAAACTAGACATGATTTCTATGTAGAGCTTGAATACTAAAAAGGGCCTAAAGGATATAGCTCAGGTGTTATGGTGTACCAACACAGCCCTGGGTTCAATCCCTACCCACTGGAGGGGTCAGGGACCCGTGTATCCATAAAAAGACATGCACAAATTATTTTAACTGTGGTTTACAGAGCTCTGGCTGGGGTTCACCTCCAGCCTTCTCACATCACTGCCTCTTCTGATCTACTTCATCTCAGTTGTCAATAGAGGCTTGACATTAGGGGAACGTTAATGTTCCCATTCATTGTTGATAATGTATATGACTTTTGCTATTACAGCCCAGACTGATATGGTTTTGGGGGGAACAGGTTTTCACTATATAGCCCAGACTAACCTTGGACTTAATCCTCATCCCTCAACTCTTGAGTTCTGGAATTATAAGCATGCACCACCATGCCCAGCTCAGACTGAACATTAAATAGTATAAAAATTTTCTTATAAACTATTAAAAAAAATGGGGGAGGGGGGCTGGAGAGATGACTCAGCAGTTAAGAGCACTGACTGCTCTTGCAGAGGACCCAGGTTCGATTCCCAGCACCCACATGGCAGCTACGAACCATCCTTAACTCCAGTTCCAGGGGAATCCGAAGCCCTCTTCTGACCTCCACAGCATTGCACTACATGGGTACACTCACATCATGCAGGCAATATACTCATACACATATAATAAAACTCACTATGTAGCTGATGACCCTGAATTCCTGATGCCACCTGGTTTCCTAGAATATTTTCACTTGTATCAGGTTGTTGTGACAAATAAAAGATGTTGATTTTTTTAAATGATCTTATAATTCCAGTCAGCACCACCAACACTGCCATTCTGACCACATGGCTCCCAAGTAAATGAGCAGAGTATCAGAACAAGGTGGAATGCAAAAGCCTCACTGACAGGTCCACAGTGCCTCCATGCACATTAGGCTCCATGCTATGCTAAATCTCTCCGTCTACGGAAGGTGGTATACAGGCCACCACCCAACAGCACTGGGCTGCCACTGGCTCATCTTCACTTCATGTCTCTTTAATCACCACCAGTCCCTGCACCCCACATGACAGGGATGTTGAGACCGAGTTTCCTCTTCACTTCCAGAGTGATTTGAGGAACAAAGCACCAGACCATCATTGCAGAGTAAATGTGAGTGCTCAGCATAGAAGGAATTCTCCACCTGCCCATCACAGATCAGCCCCTTGAACAGGTACACTGCTATACCATAAGAGGCGATACACAAAAAGTTAACACATGGAATTTTCTAGATGTTATAGTCCATCAAAACATGGCCCTGGTTTTTAAAACAATATTAACAAAAATGACAACACAGACACATCTAAGGAGCAACACTAATGGCTTTCTGGGCTGAGGACCAGTGATGATCAAAGCACAACTGTCATCGAGACTACAGACTTGTCTTGCTTTTTCCTCCCTGCCTCCTCTACTCTACTGTCCTTTCCACTGAACCTTCCTATTCCCAATGCCACATCACATCCCCCAGCCTCACGGCTCATTCCAGAAAAACCTTATTCCTTACCCATAGTTCAGAAGCTACTACAAAAAGCCTCTAAGAGCCAAGTATGTTGGAACAGGTCTGCAATCCCAGCTACTAGGGAGAGAGGCTAAGGGAGGAAGCCAACCTGGGCAACTCAGCAAAACTCTGACTCAAAATGAAATTTTAAAAAGAGCTGGGAATGTGACTCAGTAATAAAGTGCTTACCTAGCATTATGGGAAGCCCTAGGTTCAGTCCCCAGCACCACAGTAAAACAAACAAATAGGGGCTGGAGAGGTGGCTCAGTGGTTAAGAGCACTGACTGCTCTTGCAGAGGACCCGGGTTCGATTCCCTCGATTCCCAGCACTCACATGGCAACTACGAACTGTCCTTAACTCCAGTTCCAGGGGAATCCAAAGCCCTCTCTGACCTCCACGGCATTGCATGACACGGGTGCACTCACAAACATGCAGGAGGCAATACACTCATACACATAAAATAAAAATAATAAAATATTTTAAAAAATACATTGAACAAAATTGAAAAACAAAAGAAAACAAAACAACCACTGGCAGGCATGGTGGTGCATGTCTTTAATCCTAGCATTCCATAAGTACAGACAGGCAGATCTCTATGAGACTGAGGCTAGCCTGGTCTACATAGCAAGATCCAGGCCAGCTGGGGTTGCAGGGAGACCTTGACTCAAAAACAAAAAGCAAAATCTGATCAGTCACTCAGCTGCAAGTTTAAGATCCACTATTAATAGACGTATCTACCTCCATAATGTTACGTCCTTACTCAACCAGGTTCCCTCATGACAAGAGGCAGGGAATAGAAGGGAGGGCCACCTACCAGCTGCCGTATGTATTCCTGAATGGAGTTTGGGTAAACAAGTACAGTGATCGCAACCAAGGTGTTCAGGGCGAAATCGAAGATCTGGTAACAGAAGAATGGGATGATCCAGGCAGCATGTTGCTAAACATGAGAAAACAGAATACAATGCATTTAGTGCTACAAAACACTGAGTTCCAAGAAACCTTTCATCAATCTGAAGGGACATAGAGGACTGGCAGCATTAAATCAGGTCATGACAGCAACTAGTGTGCTAGCCGGATGCAGTCAAGAGACGACATGGGTGGTGAGTGTTCTGGAGTGATAGCGTTGGCTTTACTGGTTTTCTAGTACTGTGAGGTATTAGTGAGAGCCTCTCAAGATTCCTGCAGAAAGCTGGGAATAGCTGCTTCATGCTCATCACAGGAATCCTCACAGACTACATTCATGGACAGGCCTGAGAAAGAGCCTGGCACCTCACATGCAGCTGCTTACCTTGTATGCTCCATAAGTAGCCATTGCACATATCAGGATCATGAGAAGAGAGATTGCGATAGCAATGCACATGTCTGGCAAGAGGGGAGGAAAAAAATAGACAATTGGATCCACTATTTAAACTTTTTTTGTTGTTTCTTAAAGTCATTTTGTTTATAAATCAATCATAAGTGAAAAGCTTATGCTAAATAAACCACCAGAGCTATCTGAAATGCCAAAAGATGGTCTCCCTAAATCACAAGTGACTAGAAGAGCTTACAAAAGGGGTTAGGTATAATGCTTATAGACAGGGAAAAGCTCGGTCTTCTGAGGCTGGAGATGTGGTTCAGCAGTTAAGAGCCGAGCTGGCTGCTCTTGCAAAGGACCCAGGTTCAGTTCTCAGCACCCATACAGTGGCTAACAACCATCCATAACTCCATTTCCAAGGGATCTGATGCTCTCTTCTGACCCCCAAGGGCATTGCATATACATGGTACACTTACATGCAGGCAAAACATTCATACACATAAAATAAATAATTTTTAAAAACCTTTCCCATAACTTATTCATTTAAAATTTTTTCCAAGGCCCAGATGTCACAACTGACTCCAGAGACCCCACCCTCATTGATCTGGCTGTCCATCACCCAGCCGTGATCAAACATCATTAATACTAGGGGCTTGTGCTTCCAGTTTCATTTGTCTTTCACGTGATCAGAATTCTCTAATTATTTAAGTCCTAGGCAAGATCAGCTCTTTGGAAAGCTTCCTTGAGTATTCAGATGGTAAAGCCTCCCCCCCACCACCGCCATGTGGAATTATCTTTATAGCACTTATCACTATTCATCTTCTTTCTACTTGTTACTAGGGTATTTCTCTGCAACACCCTATTTCTCTTTATTTCTCTGCAACAGTGAAACTTTCCTAGTAGAAAGGACATTATCTTGTTATCAACTAACATCTGGGTGAGACACGCCCTCCAGCAGCCACTAGACACTGAGCACCAGAGGAGTCCTGTAAGATGCACACACTCCAGACATCAAGACTCAGGACTGAGAGTGTAAAATACCTCATTAATAACTTTTATCTAACTATATTAATTAAAATTAATCTTACTTATTTCTTGTTGCTTTTCAGAATGGGGCTACTAGAAAACTTCTCACACATGCTTGCATTCCATTCCTATTGAACAGCACAAATCTAGAATGCCATTACATCATAGTAGGTACAAAGCATTTATTTACTCAGGAGTATGGAATGGCTAAGTTTCCAAAGGCAATGAATGTGGGGGAGGGGGCCTATCCTTAAGCTAAGACAACACAAAACTCGTGCAGTGAAGTGTCTACACATGACAGTTGTCAAGGCATCTTCAGAAACGTCTTCTTGCTGAGAACAATGTTGCTGTTACTGAACAGACAATAAAACGAAGGCTCAGGGGTTACCTAAGATTCTGAGGTAGTATGTGCACTAAAGACTGGGCTACGACTAATTCTGCTTTTAGGATTTCAAAACTGTTTTCTTCTACTCTGCTGCACTCTGTTGCTTTTACCAAACTCTGAACAGAAGCCAGTGAACTAATCTGGGCTGCCTTTTCTGCGGATTTTTCTCCACAGGAAAGAATTCTAGTTTTAAAGCTATCCTCTCAGTGGCCTCAGCTTCAGAGCTGAGGGAATGAGTTAGGCACAAGGTTTATCAACATTAAAACAAGTTTGCAAAATGCATCCTAGGATGAAAGTGCATGGCAACAAAGAACATTTGCCATCTTAGAAACTACAAATTCCACCAGGCGTGGTGGCAGAGGCAGGCGATCTCTGTGAGTTCAAGGCCAGCCTGGTCTACATATTCAGTTCCAGGCCAGCTGGGCTACAGGGAGACCTTGTATCAAAACAAACAAACAAACAAACAACAAAAAAAACCCCTCCAGATTCCTGTAATTATCTATAGACTCCACGTAATAAATTCATGAAGATGCTGATGCCTTAAAGAAGTCAACTGTTTCTTAAAAAGAAGAAAAATGAAAGTTACGAGATGCTCAGAAGATGGCTAGTATTACTCACTGCTTAGGCATGTGGCTTCTTCTAAGATGTATATCGATATAATTTACTTCATAATTTATAACTTTTTTATGACATGCCATGGTATTATGTGTGGAGGTCAGAGGACAACTTGCAGAATTTGGATCTGTCCTTCCACCAGGTGAATGCTGGGAATTAACTTAGGGTACCAGGCTTGGTAGGAAGCTCAGTTATCCACTGAGCCATCCCACACACCAGTCATAACTCTGTAACTTCAAGACTTACTTTTCTTTCTTTGGAAAGATACTTATGAATAAAAATTCTTGTATGTCTCATGTTTTTGTGGGATCAAATTCTTCTGAGATCAAGGGTGGGCAGTTTTGCATTTTACATACAAAAACTGAGGCTAAAGAACTCTTTAAATGCAAGGAGAAAGCCTCTGCTCCTACATGTATGCGCTGTCACTGGTATAATAAGCAATATGAGGGTACTAGGACCGACTTCCTGCATGAAGTTACAGTCACAACAGAATGCACACTGCCTTGTCTTTTCCCATCTCAATATGTATCTTTTCTCTCCAATGAACTAGACATTGTATTATTTGACTCAGTTCTTGTAACAACCCTGTGATGAGTAGATTATTATCCCATGATGGCTAATCTTGATTATTAACTTGACTGGACCGAGAGGTACCTAGATTAGTAAAGCATACTTCTATGGTATCTGTGAGTGTTTCTGGACAGGACTGACTAAGAGGGGAAGACCCATCCTCAGAGGGAAAGGCTTCATCCTATAGGCTGAGGTCTCCAATAGTAAAAGGCCCTCAATAGCATGCAGCCTCTCTCACCTTCTCTCTGCTTTCTGGCACACATGATGTAACCTGCTCCATTCCACCATATTTACTTTGCCATGGTGGACTGAAAGGTCTGAAACCATGAAGGGCAAAAACAGTTTCCTCCTTCCAGTTGTTTTAACAAGTAGTTTGGCACAAGAACTAACACATCTCCATTTCAGCGAAAAAAAAAGTTAATGAAAAGAAGGTAAGCAGGCTGCCCACAGCTGTAAGCAACAAGTGGTGGATGAGATATTCCAGCCAGAGGTCTAACCCCCACAGCCAATGCCCTTCATTACTACGTTACCTGGCTGTGAAGGAACTGGATCAAATACACTGAAGGCCAACCAAAGCGCTAGGAAACATACAAAAGGAGCCAGGTGCCAATGGGCCCTACTGTCTACAAAGCTTATTATTAGAGTTTGTAGCAATCTCTGAAACTTGAAACGAAGTAGAAACCTATTCTTTCCTTCTCTATTTTAATTGTTTCTAAAATCTGTATGTACATGTATATTATACACATAACTGTATATTTAATATGAGGAAAAATAATTTTATGAAACCACCCAATTATAGGCTATTTTTTGACTAGCTCACATATCTCTAGAGAGATAAGTATATAGACTCAGAGCTTTACTAAAAAGATAAAAGTACTGCCAGGCATGGTGGGTCATGCCTTTAATCTCAATACTCAGGAGGCACAGGCAGACAGATCTCTGTGAGTTTGAGGCCAGCCTTGTCTACATCGCAAGTTCCAGATTAGTCAGGGCTACATAGTGAGACCCTGTCTCAATTAAAAACAAAAAAGGAGGGGCTGGAGAGATGGCTCAGTGATTAAGAACACTGGCTGTTCTTGCAGAAGACCCGGGTTCGAATCCCAGCACCCACATACAGCTAGCAACTTTCCGTAACTCCAGTCCCAAGGGATCCGACAGCCTCTTCTGACCTCCGCGGGCATTGC